TACCACTTTAAATTCTGTATTATATTTAATATTTAGACATCAAAAGTTCTGTTATGACAGTAAAAAAAATCCTACTTTGTGGACTTGGATTATTGCCCTGCTGCATAATTAGAATGTATTTATGTATAAGGTCACAAATTGAATGCTGGATATCCTCCTTCATGATGTCCTTAAATTACCATTACTTACTGGTACTTGTAGTTTCTATAATCTGTTTGCTTATTTTCATAGTGCTTCATATGATCACTTGTGTTGAGTTTTCTTGTTAATGTTTTTGTTGAATTCCTATTGTGAGTGGAGATGTATATAGGTGGATGCAATTGCTAATAAAAGGCCATAGGTCGCTCTGGGCAGCACTGCATTAAGGCCAAATGTAACTGACGGCTGTGTTGTTTTTCCTCCATCACTTACTGTAATTTCCAGCCTTTTAAAGATGGCAGTGTCAAGAGCTTGGTTATAGTCAAACAGTCAACACCTGCACCAGAGGTAGACTTTTTTGTTCTCCGTCATTTTGACCGACATCTTTAAAAACTTGGCCATGTACTATTTTTACCCATTAAATTGTAGTCATTTTAACATACGCTATTTAGCCACATTTTTATACGGTCTAGTTAAGATTCAGCCAGTTGAACCATGAATCTAGATCCCATCACACATAAAGGAGATGAACGCATCAAATTTTTTATCCGTAATGACAAAAACCACTGACTGTGGCCCCAATAACTTATAATAAATAAAACTAAACGACTTAAATTACTAGCACTTTACCTGCTGGGGTCTGAACACACAGCCTCACAAATTCCTTTGTAATGGAGCCATTCCTACCAAAGGCTTGGATTGGACTTCTGAACCGGACGCTCCAAAGCGTCCGGTCCATAACTTTTTAAAACGCTGTCAGCTCCCGGTCAGAAAGACACATTTAGTTCAGTGTCCTTGAGGTGATTTTCAGAAAGGATTTTTTTTTATTAATTGATTTTAGTTGCCTCTGCAATGTCTGCCCACGTGCAGCAGTCAGGGGTGTTATAATGTGTCAAATGACCAACGGGTTTAAAATTTTCCCTTTGTTTAAAAAAAAAAACCTGTCAAATACAGAAAGTATTCCATTAATGCGACCTCTGGCCCGCACTCCCACTGTCGTCTTGTTGTAACTCCACTTTTTTTTATTTTCTTAGATGTATAGACACGTTCTTCTTACATGTAGAGGCAACAGTTTTCCTGCAGATCATGCTTTGTTGGCAGTCTGTTCCACTGTACAGTGGCTTGCAAAAGTTTTCACACCCCTTGAACTTTTCCATATTTTCTCAGTACAACAAAGACCAACACAAGATAGTATACAATTGTGAAGCAGAAAGAAAATGATACGATTCAAAACATTTTTACTAATAAAAAACTGAAAAGATGTATTCAGCCCACTTTTCTCTAATAATTGCCTTCAGAAGTGCCCTGATGGCTGCTAATGGCTAAAGAGAGTCCACCTGTGTGTAGTCTAATCTCAGTACAAATACAGCTACTTGCTCTGTGACGACCTCAGAGGTTAGTGAAGAGAATATTGGGGAGAAAACGGCATGATGAAGCCCAAGGAACACACCAGATAGGTCAGAGATAAAGTTGAGGAGAAGTTTAAAACAGGCTTAGGCTATAAAAAGATTTCCCATGCTCTGATGAAAGAGTACGACACAAGTGTAAACCTACCAAGACTAGCCTGTCCACCTAAACTTACAGGCCGAACAAGGAGAGCACTGATCAGAGATGGAGCCAAGAGGCCCTGGACGAAATACAGAGATCCACAGGACAACTATTAGTCATTCACTGCACAAATGTGTCTTTATGGAAGAGAGGCAAGAAGAAAGACATCGAAAGGAAAATTTCTTGTTAGTTTAGTATATTTCTGTTGTAGGTCAGATCTCTGATAACACACTGCTTACTAGGCCCTGTTTACACGACAACGATCCAACGAAAATTTTATTTTTGTTCCGTTACTGTTATTACATTTACATGAAGACGTTCTTATTACAATCTTTGTTTACACAGTAACAGTACACATCAAAAACATGTAATGCTCTTCCATGCCAGTAGTTGGTGTTAGGTTCTTTGAAACTAAGTGTGCATGTGTTAAAAAAAAAAAAAGTTCTACTTGAAAGCATGTTGATTCGCGTTTCCTCATCAGGTAGCGTTCCCCCAGGTACTGGGGGAAAATATGCATTATGAGCTTTAGGGTGCAGTTGGAAAAAAGTGGGATAACTTTGCTGAAAGACGTTGTTTGAGCCTTCATGGTGTCCGTAGTTCTCTGGATAAGAGCGCTTAACAAGCAAGTACTTGTTATGATCGCTGAACAAGCACAGGTGTATTTTGCCACGTGGGCGGTGGGGAGCAGTGACGAGACACTGAGGGAACCGAATCTGATTGGGGAACACAAATTGTAGTAACACCAGCATTGTCAGTAGTTTATTCTTCTGTGGATTGTAGGAAGCAGCTATGTTTTGCGTCATACTATACATGAGCGAGGGATTCCCTGACAGAAAAGATCCATTTACTCTATTTACAAGACAGCGGACACCGGTACGTTTCAGAACCATTGCACTCTGGAACAAGTTTTCAATCTGTGCTGTTGTCAGAGAAAGCATTCGGTGGTTTCATGTAAATGTACACTACAAACGCAACAAAACTCTGCAGTTTTCACTCGAAATTGTTGTCGCGTAAACAGGGCCCTCGAAATTGGTGTAATTTGCTCATCATGCTCAGTAACCAGACTAATTACTTTTAGTAGTATGAGCTGTTAACAATAGATTTATGTGTCTTCTATCTAATCAAACACTCGGTAAGCTTTTGTTAAAAGAGGTTTTAATGTACATTGTGTGACACTGAAACACATTATTGAACTTTTAACTTGGATTGGATTTTTAAGCTGGAATTTTTAATGCAGGGGAAGTTGGTGTCAAAAATTCAGATTTTTTTTTAAACATCTGAAAATGACTTATCATTCATTGATTTGTGTTTGTCTTTCTTTTATGTGGAAGTAGCATTATCTGTTAAAATGTTGGTCTGGAAGCGAACATTAGTTGTGAAACCAGACTTATCTAATCGATATCAAAGTTACTGCCCTCTTAGACTTCAGGTATTCTTTGTGCTGTTATGTTGCTTTTATCAGAAAGGTTGTTGGGCTTGTCTGCGGCTTCACTGATATTCAAGGAGGAAGCTATCTCAGTTGTTTTCTTACCTTCTATCCTCACTTTATGAGCAGAGCCTCAGAAGAAAAGGACAGACGGGACTTGTTTCTGGAAGCCAAAATGAATACAACCAACGTTACTGAATCGGAGAAGAAGGAATCTGTGGATACATTCCTGATCACTCTTTACATCTTGGTTTTTGTTGTTGGATTGCTACTGAATATATATGGAATGAAGTGTTTGGTACACAACTGGAAGAAACTTAGGATTATTAACATCCTTGTTCTTAACCTTGGACTAGCAGACATGTTGTATCTGCTGACTCACCCCTTTCTTGTGTACTACATTAATAAGAATGACTGGATCTTTGGAAAAGGATTCTGTAAGGTAACAAGATTCTGCTTCTACCTGAATTTATACAGCAGCATTGGATTCCTCACATGTATAAGTGTGTAACGGTACCTGAACCATAAGATAAAGCTTATGCATGTTGGTGTTCCCTCTAAAGTCTGAATATGACCAATTTGGGTTATTTTGGCCCTTTTATCGCAGCCTGTGGGGTTTTCCCTGACTGGGAACGAGAACACAACCTGTTGAATGTCTCGGGTAGCCAATCAGAAAGCGCGGTGACATAAGAACAGAGGGGAATATCGCGCAACTGAGAGTCCGGTGGATATCGGAGAAGATATGTGAAAATGTTTATTGTTATATGTAAAGGTCATTATCATATGTTTATTATGTTTATTCAGTTAAAAATGTTAACTATGAAAAAACATGGTCACTTCCAAATCATAGTGCAGCAAATAGAGCAGCTGCTCCCGCTGTCTTTTATCCACCATCTTTTCTTTTCTTTTTTTTTGTCTTATCTCTTAAAATGAGCCCACAAAATATCACTATTGTTTCTACATCATCATCTGTGTTTGGTTATTCTAAATTCCCGTATTCTATGTTGGGGGTTTTACTGGATTATCCTCTGGAATCGGGATTTTAGTGACTGGAATCAGTTCGTGTGGTGTGTTGCTTCTGCCATGTGGCTGGAGACACGAACCGATCGAACCTGTTGTACTTTTATCAGCTCTGTGGTCACAGAGGTTTGGAGAATCGGCCAACAATCCTTAAAGGTAACAACCCTATTAGTATTGAATCTTGTTTAAAGTGGATTCATTTAGAGTTAGCATTATCTACGGTTAAATGTGATTAAGTAAGGATGTCAGCTGCAAAAGGCGTTAACAAAGACAAACATGTTCTTCAATATTAAACACTTTTTGTGGGAATCATTATAGTCAATAGTTAGGATGTTATTTTAACATACTTTAAATCTAGACTAAAACCCCACATCTTTAAAGTTGCTTTTGAAACATTATAAATGAAACATTAATTAACATTTTGACATGTAATGATGGCACTTGACAAGATGTAATAACTCAATTATTGACTGTGTTCTATGTCTTTGTATTTTTGTGTTTTTATCATGTAAATCACTTTTAGCCGCCTGGTTGCTAAAATGTACTGTAAATAAACTTGATTGATAAACTCAGAGAGTGGGCCGTGAAATTTTCTGACACTGATTTAATAAGAAATAGGATGTTATGAGTGCAAATAAACACATTTATATTTCTACTGTAAGTCAGATTTCTGAAATGTCACACTACTTACTCGAAAACCAGTGGAATTTGCTCGTCATGCTCAGTAACCAGACTAATTATTGTTAGCAGTATAAGCTGTTAACAATAGATCTCTGTATCTCTTATGTATTACAACACTCAATACGCTTTTGCTAAAAGAGGTTTTAATGTACATTGTGTGACACTGATTCAATAAGAAATGGGGTGTCAGGAGTGCACACAAACATTATTATCTAGTTTATTTACCTTGGATCAACATTATTAGCTTTTTCTTCTTTTGCTCTTTCTTTTGGTTTGTTTTTTGTTTGTATTTCCTTTTAAATCCTGTGAAGCACTTTGTATTGCCTTGTTGCTGACAATGTGCTATACAGTGATCCCTCGTTTTTCGCGGGGGTTGCGTTCCAAAAATAACCCATGATAAGTGAAATCCACGAAGTAGTTACCTTTATTTTTTACAATTATTACGCAGCATAATTAAATACTCTACATTGAAACCAAAGAACAAAACCTGTTTTCAGGTCAGCGGATGTGCGTGTGCACAAATCATGGCTTTAATGTCATCCGGAGTCGTGCCATTAAAGCGTCTCCTCCAAACTGCTTTGCAAGATTTACAGCTGTGTCTATGGCAGAGCCTCCGGCCACAGTTTTTTTCAGCAGGCATTCAAAGTTTCAGTTTCCATCTCCTGAATGGCCAATTCACTGTGAAAAAAACTGCACAAAGAAAATCTGCGAAGCAGCGAGACCGCGAAAAATGAACCTCGTTATAGCAAGGGATCACTGTATAAATAAAATTACCTTTACCTTTACATTATTGAACGCTTCACTTGCACTTGAATTGTAAAGTTGGAATTATTAATGCAGGGGAAGTTGAAAACAACTTATCATTTATTGATTTGTGTCTGTCTTTCTTTTATGTGCTAGCTGTTATGTGGAAGCAGCATGATATGTTAAAATGTTGAGCTGGAAGCCAACTTTAGTTGTGAAACCAGACTTATCTTCTGGTAATCAAAGTTAACGCCCACATAGAGTTCAGGTATTACTGTGCTTGTTGTGACCGTCGAGGCTCCAAAACCAAAAATTTCCATTGAAGGCCGTGGGTGGTAATAGGTGGTATGGTTCTTGAACGTACTTCCGTCTTGTTTGAAAAAAAATAGATATGTTTTATTTCTTGAAAAAAATACAAACAATACAATTACTAAAAATATATTTCTACTTAGTTGAAAACAAAAGTTTACTTAATTTAACGTTTCAAGTTCAAAAATGGTAATAAATAAATAAATTAACGAAAATCTTCCATCATCACACCGGACATTTGCCAGACAATAGACATCCACCACCAAGCACCCGGTGTGTTCTTAATCGCCTACATTAATAAGAGGGTCTAAAGGTTACCAAAGTAATCTAAGCAATTCCAAATAGAAACATTATTTACAGATTTTGGTTCTAAATTAACATAAGTATATTCTAACAGTCCAAAGAAAATTAAATGGATAGAAATAAATTCCATGATTTAACATAGATGGCCATAACAGTGCTGTTATGTTGCGGTTATGTTGCTTTTGTCAGAATGGTTGAGGGGCTTGTCTGAGACTTAACTGAAGTTAAAGGAGGAAGTTATTTAGTTTGCATTCATTCTTTCTAGCTCATTTTGTGAACAGAGCCTCAGAAGAGAAGGCCAGAAAGGCCTTGTTTCTGGAAGGCAAAATGACTACAAACAACTGTACGAAACTGGATGAGGAATTACTCACCAATAACAATGTCCTCCCTACTTTTTACATCTTTACATTTGTTGTTGGATTGATCCTAAATGCTTGTGGAATGCTGTACCTGGTGAATAACTGGAAGAAACTTCAGATTATTAACATCTTTGTTCTTAACCTTGGACTAACGAACCTGTTGTTTTTGCTCACTCGACCCTTTCTGATTGTGTACTACTTTAATGGGACTAATTGGACCTTTGGACAGCCTTTCTGCAAGGTAACAAGGTTCTGCTTTAAACTGAATTTATATGGCAGCATCGGATTCCTCACATGTATCAGTGTGTACCGGTACCTGGCCATCGTCCATCCAATCAAAGTGATGGGGAAATTAACTGTGATTCACTCCGTGGTCATCTCTGTGGTAGTGTGGATTCTGGCGAGTGTTGGAAGTCTTCCAGACGTAATCTACCCCAAACAATCAGGGAACAATGAAACATGTCTTCCTGCCACTGATGAAGAACACATTGAGAGATACTTTATCTACAACCTCATCTGGACAATCTTTGGATTCTGCATCCCTTTCATCATCATTGTGGGCTGCTATATACATGTGGCTCTTGTCATCAGCCGTTCAAATATGATGAATAAGAAACATAAACGTTGGTTATTTTGATTCTTCTCTTCTCACTTTGTTACACACCCTACCTTGTTCTGAAGAACTTCAGCGTGTATGCCAAATGTGTGGGTTTTAAGAAGTCACCTTGTCCCACATGGTATGATGAAGTATTGAAAGCGCGTCATGTAAGTCGTGGTCTCGTGAGCCTGAACTGTGCTCTTAACCCGCTGGTTTACATGTGTGTTTCTGAGAACATTAGTGCTCAGTTCAGGCAGCTGCTGCAGCGATGTGGACAGGTGTTCAGTTGCTGCTTTAAGCAGAAATCCAGCTCTGAACCAGTACCACACACTGAGGAAGAAGCTGAAAGTGCTTTATGACATGTTTTTTTTTTAAGCTGACCATGTTTTGAGTGAAATTTCTGTTCCGTTCAGTATGCTTTGTATTCGTCTAACTCATTGTGCCGCATGCTAGAAAATTAATAATTAAATAAGAAATTAAGCAAAGCCAGCATCATTTTCACTGCTGTACTGCAATAACAATGAGGATGAAAGTCTTTTTTAACACATTTCATTGAATTCATTGTTATTTTTTGTTCCTATCCACACGTGGTCAAAATTATAGATTTTTGGAAAAAGTTTTTATCTTCTTGCATATTTCTTCTGTTTCTTCTTTTTGGTCACAGTCAAATTGTGATCATCAAACACATAAAAATAAAATGTAGTAAAAACTAAATATAATCTGAGTGAAGACAAAATGCAATTTTGAAATTGTTTTTATAAAATTGGAATATGTATTTTCTAGAGGTGTGCCGATCAATCTGTCACCGATCATAATCGGGCCGATTTCTGTGAAAAAGTGCATGATCGGTGATCGGCGATCATTGGCTCTTGTCGCCGATCACCTGCTTCTCATTTCGCAGCCTGCCTGTGCAGCTGGTCTCCTCTTTCCTTCACTCTGCGTAAACGCGCAGCAACAAATCCTAAGCGATGTGGAACTATGAAGCACTGAGTGAATGGGGAAGTTTGCGTGTTGCTGCGGAAAATTGAAGCACGTCAAAATGCATCAACACAACGAAGCTAATACGACATAAAAACAGTGCCATACTTGACGGAGTTTGGCTACA